TAATTTTTAGATTAACTTACGTTTATATAAGAGAAATACATTTATAAGAACTTAATATCAGACAATGTTTAGACAACCTATGGAAACAAATTTAATACAACAATTATTTAGACATTAATGTGTTAGTAAGTGTTAGTAATTAGTAAATAATTTAAAATGAACGTAATAAATAATTTAGCATGATAGGTTTAGTTACAATGCTTTAGACAGTGGGGACACTCCTCCTCCTGCGGCCCAAGAACTCGGAGCCCATCTTCTTAACCTTATAGAAACCGTCGGCTCTTTTGCCTAAAAACTCGGAACCCATTCGTTTGCCTTATGAGAGGTGTGGACAACAAACACAACCATTAAATTACACGTCTTTTGTCTGTATTTCTTATTATTTGTATTCATTTCCAGTGATCTATCGATTGTGTTATATTGTCGTGTATTCTGTTGTTTCAATCACTTATTATTAGTGTATTGTCTTATATATCAGTTTTCATGTACTTTACATACTGTATTTGGTTAAGTCGTGTTCACATATAGTAATAGATATAATACTGTATATAGGAAATGGATGTGGAAAGACATACCGAGGAATTCACTGCCTTTTATTCTTTTATTCAGTAAGTGTTGAAGAGTTCCGTAGTATTTAGGGTTAAGCCTTAAACTGTAAAATTGTTGTGCATTTGAATTATCAAACTCTGGCTCTTCATCTTCATTTAGATTAGTGTTTAGACTGTTATCGTCTGCTTCTGTAGTGTTTTAATTAAATTTAGTTATCATTAAAATTAGTTTATTATTTCTAGACATTTAGATAGTATTAGTAATGAATTTAAGTTTTAGAGTTACTACTAGTATATCATATTATATATTAGAAGTCATTAAAAGTTTTTTACTTTTTATACGAAACCACTCCTTATTAAAGCCATAAATTTCTACCGCTTTTTATAATTTCAATAAATTTAACTCCTATTAAATATCAGTTTTATAGTCAATTTGATATTTTTGATAATTAGCTTTTATAGAAATTATTGCTTAAAAGTTCATAAATAAAAGGATTTTGTTACTGGAAGTACAGGTTTACAAAATGTGAAAATCATAATAATTTATACATAAATGTATAAAATTACATGAAATTTATCCAGACATTTAATTGATTATAACTCAAAAAGTAATCTAGATAATTTACGCCAGCTAACAACTTTACTTATATTTGAAAAGATTTGAAACCATAAAAATTAATTAAGAAAAGAGTTTGAATAAATGAAAAAGTGGTTGCAATTAATCAGTCATACATACCGTGGTCTGCCGTCAGTGCAGTTGTCGTACTAATAATAATAACCAAAAGTGAAATCCATAGGAGAATGCAATTGAAATTTTTAGCGTATATTAATTCCATTATATCTCTGACTGTGTTTTCCTTTATAGGTATGGACTCTGTTTTATGGGAAGACATCAATAATACTGTTATTATGCTGTGTATTATATATAAAGGATACAATATAATCATATTATTTATTACATTTAGAAAATAAGTTTTAAT